CGGCTCCTGGCAATAATGGCAAATCGAAGTGCTAAGGCGTGCCAGCCGGCAGCACTGGCTTCTCACATCTCTGTTCTGAAAAGGCAGGTGATAATTTGTGCTGCAGTCAGGGCATTAGATGGGTCAGGTGAGACCATTGCTTTGGCTCTCCTGGCCTGAGAAGCTGCCAACTAAAAATTGATCCAATGTGTGAAGATTGGAGCTGGGTTCAGTTGCAGCTCTAGGTTTCCCCAGAGAGGGTGGTTTCAGGCTGAAAGCATATTTCTTGAGTCAGACGAGTACATAAATAGAAGTCTCCCACTTCTTAGCAACATCTGTGCCAGAAATAACATATTCTGCCCTGGTAAAAAACTTGCAAATTGGAAGTGAAAGGCCATGAAAGATTTGGAGAATGACAGCTATCTTTACTTGTTAGTCTAATTTTAAAAGGCAAGTTGGTCAGTATGCCACCACTATTCAGACAAACCACTTTGCCAGCAATCAAAAATATAATTGTTAAAAAGTCATCTGATGTGGAAAAAAAATAGAAACATTTGAGATAACCTCATTTCACAGGATGTTGCCATATTGAAAGGGACCGGCGTCCCGAGGATGCTCAGGTTTATCCTCCCTGCTAAAAAAGCTCATTAATATAAAAGTCTTTTCAAAAAGGCTAAAAAGTAATTTTCATAAGCATTCTGAACAGCAACCACTGTGTCAACTTCCCTAGTTTTAGCCAACATTATTAGTTCCTGAAACTTACAGTTAAAATTATCCAGGTACAGTCTTCAAAGTTAAAAAATTCTAGCTGTTATTTATAATTCTCAATGAGCACACTGATTATATATTCTGTTTGGTTTTTTAAATTCATGTGCATGTGCAGTGTAAAACACAGATTTGGCAGTGTGATGTTCGTTAAACCCGCACCACATGTGTAAAATTCCTGTGGTTTCAGCTGGTGGAGACAGTCTCTAACCGGTTGACTGAGAAGTGAGAGCACTTTGGTTGGTATTAGCGATTTTTAGGAGTAGCACAAAAAGACTTTGGTGTCTCTCAGGGAATTTTTAGTCAGCCTGGCCTGCCCGATCCCACACATCCACCTCTATTCTGATTTGATTCGAGTGGCCTCTTTTCTTTCCGAGTACAAACTCTGGATCTGTAGTTTTCCATACAAATAAAGCACCTTTTGTGAAGTGGGCTTCTATTTCTGGGATACAGGACCAGGCACTGTATTGCTAACGTAGTCTATATTGTTGTATTTAAACAAAACTAAAGTATTAACATCTAAAAATTGACTGCTGCTCAGTATGTTTTACAATGTTTCTTAATATGTACTTCTTTATTGACAACAAATCCTCGTGCTGTGAGCTGCTGTGGTAGGTCTGGGCTTCAGGGGAGAATCTGACCAGAACACAGACTTCTCCATCCCCGTGTGCAGGGAATGAAGGGAAATCCCTTCTAAAAGCTTTGCTTCTTTATGCTTCCAGAATCAGTGGCAAATTTGGTTTATGCTGAATTGCGAGTTCTGATAACGTGCCCAGAACTATCCATGTATTTCTGTTCTGTGTAAAATTGACAGTTACATTTATGTATCTTCCTAAAGCCCCATGTTTGCCTTACTGAGAGCAGAATTTCAGGAAAGGCACTGCTGCGCTTGGGAGCGATGTTCTGCCGTGGGAATTCAAAGCAAAGAGGTTACATGTGATCCTTTTCCTTCCCATCAGTCTGTCGTATATTGTCATGGAGGGCGAATTGGGTTCTTCCAAGGCGATATTCGTCTCCTATCTGATGATATGAAAGCGTTGCGTCCAACCATCTTCCCTGTTGTGCCGCGGCTGTTAAACAGGATGTACGACAAAGTGAGTTTAATTTCATTATTTTTGTGATGATTAAGTTTATGTCCCATTAGTACTTATCCGAAAGAATTTCTTTAACCACAGAGGTTTCCTGAGCGGGTTGCACTGTTTCCGCCTCACTGCAAACACACTCTTACCCTCTGTAACTGATGTAGCTGCTCTGGTCTGTGAGTCTGTATTACGTTGATTTACACAGACTGCAGACATGGTTATTGCACATTAATATGAAATCCCTCTGTATGAGCCTCTTACCCTGTCCCCACTTTGGCTACTAGTGACATTTCCAGAGCCAAGGGATTTTTTCATCACAGAAACACCTGTCAAACCTGGATGCAGTAGGACTTTTTGTGCCCTTCAACCAGTTAGGGAGCTTGACTCTCTCTTTCGGGTGGTAACGACAGCTGAAAATCAGAAATTGCAAAAAAGGCTATGAGGATTTAGGCAGTGTAAATGTGAGGTTGGATTTTGGATCTAGAAATCTTTAAGAGATGGTTTTGAAAGGTATTTAAGATAGACATGTCTGGTCATCATGTTAAATCTGTTTGACCAGCTGGTGATATTTATTCCTCAGAAGATTTATCTTTTAAAGACAAGCTTAAGCACATGCTACTGATTTAATTTTACCCCAAGGTCACGACTGTTGGCTCAGGGGTTCTGGTGCCTCGTTAGAGAGATGGGTGGGCACTGGGGGTTTCTCCTTTGCAGGGATGTTGTTCATTCTGGTGTCCGGTTAAGCTTAGGTAAATGCAGCCCCCTCTCATCAGCCAGTGCCGATACCTGCTCTAGCTGCCAACTATTCCAGTTGCTCACTCCTAGTCCCTCAGAACGCATAATTCCACTGAACCCTACCATACAGAAATACCAGACATGTAAATCTAGTCAGAGCCTACCCCATCATCCTTTCTCCTTTTTTCCCAAAGGGAAAATGTACAATAGCAAATGAAGTGAAACAAACCACTCCTTTTTTCCCCCACTAAGAAAGCACTAGCCTGGTCATATTTAGCTGTCCTGCTAACATAACCGTACCCCACCTGGCACCGGCAGCACTGTCTAGCTGTGGTTGTAAGAAAAGCTGCTGATGGTTTTTCTCTGCCTGCTACCCCGCTCTCCCGCAGATCTTCAGCCAGGCAGACACATCCCTCAAGCGCTGGATTCTGGAATTTGCTGCGAAACGGAAAAAGGCGGAAGTGCGAAACGGGATCATTAGAAATGACAGCTTGTGGGATAAGCTTTTCTTTAATAAAATACAGGTAAGCAGTTTAAGAAGTGAGTCTTAAGTCAAAGAACTGGCACTTCTTCTAGCAATGACTGATTTTCTGTAGTCTGTTTGGTCTGCTGGCCTGATGATGAACTGTGGGCAATTGCTACTCAAGCAAATAGCAGACTGAAAAACTGAATAGAAAAATGAAATGGAGCACAGTTTGTTGTCCTACTAACTTTTGCATTAACTTTAACCACATTTATTTTTATGCATGTATTTATTTCTAAGTACCACATATAAGGAGCCAGATATTCCCTTCCATTAGGGACAGTTTTCCAAAGAGAAACACAAGGCAGATTAAGATGGCTTTTGCCACATCCCTCCCTTGGCAGCGCCAAGAAATCATCGTTTTGCAGAACAACACCACCAGAATAGCTCTAACACCAGGGCTGCTGTCACCTCCTTTGGTATTTGGGTGCTCTGCCTTGCAGGGACTGGGCATCTGCTGTGGGCCCCAGGTAAATGGTTGCTCCCCTACTAGCACCCAGCAGCTGGCAGGGGAGAGGATTGCATGAAGCCCACTCCTGCCTCCTCCCACACAGGATGAAATTCAGGAAAGCAGTCAGGCAAAGAGGAATAACTGATTAAAGAGATCTTGCTCCAAAGTTTTCTGCAAATTTTCTATAGACACAACTGGATTTAGGGTCAGATTTCAATTGGGCATATTCAAACCCAGTTTTTTCCTAGGAAAAAAAGAAAAATGCATGTGTAAATCACAGTTTAACAAGAGGGTAAATAAATCAGAACACCATGCGTCATACATCTCCTCAGTAAAAAAAAAATAAAATAAATTTGCTTTAAACCAGGTTTTCCGGGTGCTGTACTACTCCAGGAGGCTCCGATTACTTTGTTTTTTTAATTGGGTAACTTTTCTGGAGACTCACCACTTTATTTTTAACTAAAGAAACTGACTGTACCTTTTGTCTGTGATTAGCTGTCCTCCAGTGTGCAAAGACAGCAGAGTTCACACGGTGCTGCCGGGCGCGCAGACAGGAGGCGAGCCTGGCTGCATATTGATTCAGGCTCTGGCGAGACTGGCAGACTTAGTCAGGAGTTGTTTTCTTTTGTGCTGGGTTTTCTTTTTACTTTTAGAATAAGAAAAAGGAAATGAAGGGACAGGGGGCTGGAAGAAGAAGTAAAATGCAACACAGGCATTGATGTAATACCCTCTAGAAATATTTGGAGGTCATCTGCCTTAAAAAAAAGACAGCATTATTTTAGGTGGCTGGGGAGCCGATTCATTAAAAACAATGAGGTGCAAAAAAAGCAGAGAAAACTGGAGAGGGGAAGAGACTGATTTTTACCCAGAGCCAGATGTGATGGTGTAGGGCAGGGGGGCTTCCTCGCAGTTCTGCAGCCCAGGCACAGGCACTGAGAGCGAGTAGCTCATCCTGGGAGATGTGGGCCTCCCGCCCCTGTTCACTATTTCTACCTGTGAGGGGTACAATTATTCCTTTCAAGATTTACCTGACTTTTTATCCCTAAGGAAAGATTCAGGGCCAGTTCACATTTCCACGGCTGCATCCGTTCCAGAGCAAACATTTTGCGCAAGCTCTGTATAAGCCGTGCTCCCAGACGGTGCAGGTTTTGCTCTCTGTAGTAATTTGTGATGCTTTCCTTTGTTCTCTCTCAAACAGGCGAGTCTCGGTGGGTGCGTTCGCATGATAGTAACAGGCGCTGCCCCGGCCTCTCCGACTGTCCTGGGCTTCCTTCGTGCAGCCCTTGGATGTCAGGTAGGCTCGCACAGCTCTTTGGAGTTGTTCTTTTGCTTTTAGCTAGAAAATGCACTGCATTTAAGAAAAGAGATGGCTTAGGACCTCAGAATTGTGTTTAGAACAGCTTTCCCAGGATGGATCCAACAGCTGCTGCCGAGCTTGAGGCAGCCACAGTGCCCGGGAGCCCCCGGAGCTCTGCTCCCTGCAGCGTGGCCCTGGGAAGGGAGCAGCAGGCAAGCATGGTCTTTGTTGTGGGCAGCTGCCAGGAAAAAAAGCCTAGACTCATCCCACCTGTCTCTCAGCACTTAATTGAGTATATGCAATTAAATGGGCTCATGCATTGCTAGGAACTTTGTTACATGAGGTTTATTCTATATATAAATGGAGAAAGATAATCTTCAGGTGGTAATTTAACTCACTTAAGATGTCCACTGTGATATTTCTCTTTGACAAGGAAGCCCAGGGCTCATTCAAGTGCCTAAAATTAGGCCAAAAAAAAAAAAAAAGTATTTTCAGAGTGTTCCACAGAAATACCTTTTTTCCCCCCATTAATAAATTTCTTTCATAGAGTAACACTCTTCTTGACTCAAAAGCTAAGTGCTGAACTTGTCTTTTCACTCTTGGCAGCTCTACAGAGCCAGGGTAACTCACAGCCCTGTAAATGACATTTTGTATGCAGTAAGAGCCAGGTAAAGTGTCCCTGCGTTATCTGTGCACCGGTGCATAGCCACTGAAAGGATTAGCTCATGGGACTGTGCACCAGAAGGAAATTCTTAGAATTTTATTCTGTAATAGTGAAATCATCTACGCTGTTTTAAAGAAACCTGTTTCTTTGTCAGGTTTATGAAGGTTATGGCCAGACAGAATGTACAGCTGGATGCACCTTTACAACCCCAGGTGACTGGACATCAGGTAAGGATTTTCTTCCACCATTTCCAGAAAGAAAAGAAATGCCAGTTTCTTTAGAAAATTCTGGACTGGAACATCACAGGGTGCTATGCAACATTCACCACCATGTGAATAACATTCAGCAAATGTAATGTTCTTGAAAGTATCACTAGTCCAGAATAAATGCATGCGAATCAGATGTTGGGCACGTTTGCCTGAGGAGATCTGGAATTGTCTCTTGAGCTGCTATATGCAATACTTTCATATCTGCACTCCCAGCGCTCTGAGTCCTTTCTGGAGCACCGGAGGTGATCTTGAAAGGATGTTTGTTAGAATGAAATGCTGGAACAAAGAAAATATTAATTCATTTATGTACTTAGTGAGCAAAATCAGGCTTCAGATACAGATCCACCCACTACTCAATGCTTTCTCTATTTCAGGCTTTCAAAACTTTTGAATCTTGACAAAATCAGATAAAAATTAGCACTAAGCAAGATTCAGATAATACATACAAGTACCGCAGCTTAATTTCTTCTTGATATAATTAATAAGTGTTTATAAAAATGTTTTGAAGTGAGTATCATACTCATTCAAATCAATACCAGTAGGAAACGTAGACATTGGATATTAATGGGTATGGCTAGTTAAACGTTTCCTTCTTTCCGGCCCAAATTTTCCATGGCTGGAGAAGAGCACATGCTTGCTTCTCCCAGCGCAAGTGGCCATCTGGTTTTCTTCAAACCAACACCAGCCCCTTGCAGCCCTGGTGTGTCCTGGGGCTCGCTGCACTGGGCAAAGCGCCACTCCTGGGTTGGTGCTGCCTCCTCATCCTCGCTGCGCTTGGATCTGGGAAAGCGTGGTCAGCGTTACATCACTGCAGTCAGGATTAAAACAATGACAGTCCAGAGCTTTGTGTGCTTTTATAATGAGTTAAGCTTAAAAAAAGAGTTAAGTCTCTTACAGGTGAGGGAGGCATGCTCAGTATTTCAACATGTAGGAAAGTAGGGTTTACAGATATCCAAATAGGAAGTTCGAGTATTTAGTTTTAATAGTTCAAAACCTTAAATGAGGAAATTATTTCTGCACACAGCTCCTGCAAGAACATCCAGTGTATCTGCAATTATGCAGGCAACTAATAATAAAATGCTAATTATTGTTTCTAGGAGAGATGACAAGTGACTTGAATAACTTTGATTTCCAGGTCATGTAGGAGCCCCTTTGCCTTGTAACTTAATCAGATTGAAGGATGTGGAAGAGCTGAATTATTTTGCTTCCAAAGGAGAAGGAGAGGTAGAAAAGAATTTTTATATCAAATTCTCACTAGTTAATGCTGTATTAAGTATATAGTTATAGAAGCATTTTACCTTAGTAAGGTGCATGGTTGCTGATATTTTACATCAGGAAGGGAAAATGTCAATTCAGCAACAGAGCAACAAAGTATTAATTAAAAAGGGGCTGTGGCAGTACTTCCAGCCAGTGCCATGCCTGATTACTTTAACAGCTAAGACTGAGTTAATTAGTTCAGCTAAGAAGAGCTGAATTGATGTGATTTTTGCATTGCTGTTACTTTTATATTGCACATAAATTAACTGTATTGAAACAACTTTTTTTTAACTGCAAGCTGAATGCAAATCAACTTCAAGCAGATCAGTTTTGCATTCCCTGTTTGATACTTCCATTAGTTTGACAAAAATCCATAGGTAATTTTATAACTCAATATATTTTAGCTTCATAGAGCACAGTCATTAAGTCAACCTTTAAAATATTTCCATTTTAGTGAATTACTATTTAGCCTGTTACTATTTACAGCAGAATAATAAAATAATTTCTCAGCAACTCTGCCTGTTTTGCAGATATGTGTGAAAGGACCAAATGTTTTCAAAGGTTATCTGAAAGATGAAGAGAAGACAACTGAAGCGCTGGACCAGGAGGGCTGGCTTCACACTGGAGACATTGGGAGATGGTTACCTGTGCGTACGGATCAGATGCTTATTCTTCTGTCAGTTGTATTATCCCATGTAAATTTTCAAGTACCAAACTTAAATTTCCAAGCAGATCTATCTTTACAAAGGATAATGTTTTTATTTTGCAGAATAAGCTCAATATGCCAATGAAGCATTTTCTGGCAATTCAATGAGCTCTGTTAAAAGCACACTGCTTACTGAGTCTCTATGGTTAAATAACTTCCCATTTCTTCCTTCTAACAGAATGGGACTCTTAAAATTATTGATCGGAAAAAGCATATATTTAAACTTGCTCAGGGAGAATATATTGCACCGGAGAAGATAGAGAATATCTATATCCGCAGTGACCCTGTTGCCCAGATCTATGTCCATGGAGACAGCCTGCAGGTAAAAACCAAGTTTTCAGAAAATCGTGTATTTGTTCTTTGTAAACAGAAGACAGAGCTGGGCGTGAACAAGGGGAAAGCAGGAGTGGATCACGCCACGTATTTGCCCTGATGTCTCCTTCCTGCTGCCAACCATGCTGGAGCTGAGCTGCTGGTGTGACCCTAAGCAGCCTGGAGGATGTTGTGGCCCAAGACTGAGCCTTTACATTTGTTTCGGTGTCACCCTCCACTGGTCTAACGCTCTCCTTTGCCATGTTGCCTGCAGTAAGGTAGACGAAGGCAAGGCCACCGCCGCTCCATGATCACTGCCTACCCATTTTGATCAATCCTGCTCCATTCTTGCCTTGCCTGTTCCCCAAATTACAGACTTGCTCACTGTTTGCAGTTGCATTCACAATGAAAACGGTTAATTCACATCTTGATACCAACATGTACAGCTTCTGAAACCATTCCAACTCCTCCCTCTACATTGACTGGCCACAAACATGAGGCTTCCCTTGGCATTGAGGTTTGCCCAAGACTCAAAGGTCCATGAACTGCATGTGTAGAGATGATACAGGCTATGTTTGGCTCTGACTTATGCAGAATACAAGCAATTTAATTAATGTCCAAGCAGAACACAAACCCAACTGAAGGTGTTAAAATTGTTGGCAAAAAATGCAGGAACACAGAGAACCATTTTATCTGAAGAGAACGCACAGGCACCAAAATACACCTCACTATGACATGTTAGCAAATTATTGACAGAATTAAACAAGAAGTGGTAAACACATAGCAAATTCAACTGGCTTATGGATTCACTTCAGTGTAGGGCCTTATATGTTGTTCAACCTTTGCCTGCAACTCTCCTTCTTCTTCACCTGCAGGCCTTTCTGGTGGGAATTGTGGTGCCTGATTCTGAAGTTATGCCAGGCTGGGCAAAGAAGAGAGGGTTTGATGGAGCATATGCAGAACTCTGTAAAAATAAGGTTTGTCTTAATATCAGTCTGCAGTACGGACTTTTTTTCATGGTAGCATAACCTAGTTAAGAGTTGGTATCTATTAATGATCTCAGTGACAAGAATTACTCCTTCACTGAGAATTAAGCAGGGTTGACCTGGATATGGTGATGTGTGTGGGCTGATAGTACAGACCTCTGCAAACTCCTGCACGGGCAGGTCCAAAGGCCTGTCTTGCAGAGCACAACAGTGCGGCAGTGGGAGAAGTTGTATTTGTTTAGAGGTCTTAAATATGGATCCCAGCCTTATTTACACATGCTCTCCAACACTGAGTAACTGAGTTGTGTCACATCAGTAACACTGATGGCACTAAGTCATCCCACTGGTGGCTGTGTAGAATAATTCTCCATCTAAGTCTGGCAAATGGTTGAAAGATGGTTGAAATGTAAGGTTGTATTTTCAAACCTATATGGCAAAACCTGTATTTGCAAATTAAGCACCTATGTCATATAGGTTTGAAAATACAACCTTACATTTCATACTGAGGAAAGAGTTAAGATCACCACACTTATGTTGAATGTTTGTACGTTTCTTTAATAGAATATTTGCTAATTATGTATTAACTACCAATAAGGCACTTGGACTTTACTAAGAAACGTGTTTTCTTGATGAACAATGATATAATTGCATATAAGGTTGATATTTCATGATGCATTTATGTGTTTTAACCCAGGAACTGCAGCAAGCAATAATGGAAGACATGGTACGGTTAGGTAAGGAGAGTGGACTTCATTCCTTTGAGCAGGTAAAGTGAAACAATTAATATGTTATTCAGAGTGGTCACGCAGGGAATTTGCCCATTTGTACTGAACAGGGATTTGTCAGCATTTGTTCTGTTACTACACATCCTTGTTGCAGCTGCACACCGCATTTTTGGGAAGGCAGCTTTACTGCTGACAAGTTGTATCCTTTGAAAAAGATATATACGCTGTGATTCTGCCTTTGACTCATGCTTGAAATTTGAATTAAATTTAGTGAAAATTTTGAGTGCAGAGGTAAAAATCTAACCCAGGGACATGGATAATCTCCCATCTGAGAATCAGGGGGCAAGATAAATATCTGTAGGACTCTAGTGCTTCTGCCACTGAAAGCACTGTTAAGAAAGTGGGTCACTAATTACTGCTCTTATAACTGACCTAGGAAATGCTGCTGGTTTATTTATTTTCAGCCTGTGAACTGATTCTTTTCTGGTGCTTGTGTAAATATTTCTCCCACAGAGCTACAAACACTTCAGAAGGAGAGATCTGAAATCAACTTTGGATTACATAGCATTAAAAACCCAGTTAAAAAAAATCCACCACATTTTTAAATGCCAAATGCTTATTTCTGTTATAATAATGAACACCTTGATAGCTACATATAGTTAACAACGGCCTTTTTGCTTTCGTTTAGACTGTTTCTGGGTGGTAATTCTAATGAGTAATTCACTGTATCTGAGTGCAGCAAAAGCACCAGTAAACATAAACTTGCTATTCTTCATTTCTCAGTTACATATGCAAATGAAATTATAGTAAAGAATACATTAATTTTTAAAATTAAATTCAGTATAAAGCACAGTTCGTAATGCACATAATTGTCTGTCGTAATAAGTCTGGTTTGCTCCTGCCATAGTCTTCACAGAATGAAATATCCTCAAGTAATCTATCCTACCAGCAGTTTGCAATTCATAAACTGTAGAGCAGTGAGGAAAACCTTCCCGTGTTTCTCAAAGTTAAGAAGAAATGTTTTGCATGTCAGAACTAAAGGGCTTCAAAAGTAACATCTCTGTTGCAATACGTAATTTTAAAACCAGACTTTGAGACAGATATTATGGCTAATGTTCTTGTGGGATGGGACCCCCTTTAATGGAAAAGCCACTTTCCACCATCTCCATCCTTGGCTGCAGCCCCAGGGACTGGGGCTTGAGGCTCTTGGGGCCAGGGCTTGGAAATGACAACTCTGGCTCCTGTAACCAACAGCTGCCAGGGTGCAGGCTCAGCAAGCCAATGTAGTGAAGGGGCAAGCATTAACAACACAAACACTGATTTTGTGAAGGGCATCACTAGGAGGGAAACTGGACCACAGTGCTTACAGGGGAAAAATGAATCACCTAATGGGAATTAAAAAATGGAGTCTCATTCTATATTGCTGCAACTCCCAGTCTGACAAAATGCAAACCAGTCTGGTTTGGGAATCACAAAAGCAGCAGATGGCTGGGGAATTTTGTCTTAAATCGGTGGACTATGACCAGTCACGCAGCAGTTTTCTGCTTCCCCCCACACTAGCGCTCCCATAAATGCACTGGAAGGAAAAGCTCGCTCCCATCTGTGCTGCCAGGCTCCCTGCTGTGTTCAGAGCCTCCATCGCTAACAAGGGCAGCCTTGTGAAATCCTGTTTGCCTAGGATGAATGATTTTTTATCGTTTTCATTAGCTACTAAAACACCATCCATCCTTCTTCTTTAAAGATGATTGCCATGTACATTCTTTGTGCCTGCAAAGCTTCATGATAATTTTGCGTGACCAAATTATTGCTGCTTATTTCCTTGTTGTGGTTTGGTTAAGTTGATGTTTCGTAGTGTGATTCCCTGCCCTCCCTCCCCCCCTCAGTTTCAACCATGCGAAACTCTGCAGTCGCACTCTCACATATGGTGACACCGGCCCTCGCGCTCTGCCTCACTGCGTTTTGGCCTTGGTTTCATGTGGAAAAGTAGTTTATGTGTTCATTCTGTCAGGGAGCTCCCTGCTGTGCTGGCTGGCGGGGCAGCGTGGACCTCTGCAAACAAGCAGGAGAGCAGGGAGTGGTGAGGAGGCATGGGAGGGTTAGTGTCACCTTGCAAAATTTGGGCAGATGAGGAAAATCCTGGGTGGAAATGCCTGAGTGGATCCAGGCACAGCCAGAGGTAATGCAGCAAGGCTAGCATAAGAAGTTGTGCTTATTGAGTGCAATGCCTGTAATTTTTTGCTATAAATATATCCCTTTATTTATTTTAGGTCAAAGCCATTTACATTCACTCTGATATGTTCTCAGTACAAAACGGTTTGTTGACACCAACATTAAAGGCTAAGAGACCAGAACTAAGAGATTACTTCAAAAAACAAATAGAAGAGCTATATTCAAGCATCTCCATCTGAAATCACGAGAAGAATCTCCTGAATAATGGACTTCATAGCAATATTAGAATAATACTCAAAAGTACAGAGCCAGAATGACACAGCTGAAATGGATAAGCATCTGAATCTTACATTCAAGCCTTTTATTGTTCTAGGATTTCACCACTAACCATAATCTTCCTTTTTTCCATCAGGTCTGATACAATTTATTTTTCACTCTACGTACACAATAGGGTACTACTAAGAATTATGCTAAATTGCCACAAAATATACAGAAATTTCAATCTACGACCAAGTAAATTATGGAAATTCACCTTATTAATAACGACAGAAATTTCTAATTAATATAAGAAAAATATCAGGTATGTCTGTTGATATTTGATTGTATATAATCGAATATATTAGAAACTAAAATTGTGGATAATTCAATAATGTGGTCTACCTCAAACAATCGGTGACTGATGGTGAAAGTCTATTTTCCCTGATCTGGAACTTCAAGCTGGATATTGGTTTATATATTAGGTGATAGTTTTTATATTTTCCAGGACATAAGTTACATTGATTTGATTTAATCATTAATGACCTAACTAACAACCAGAATAGAAATATGAATGAATCTCCTGCTATTTGTACTTAATAGACCTATTACTATATAACAGCTAATGGATTAATATTACCTTGAAATTACAGGAACAGGTTAGGAAGTGGTAGGATAGAATTCCCTCTATTTCCTTCTCATCTGAACTCAATTTATACATGGCATGCTGGTTTTACATTAGGGCCTCCTTCAGCGCAGTTCACTCATAGGCATCTGAACTACTCAAACTGAGAAGGTTGCAGAAGCATTGCTGGCTCTGTGGCAGCTTTCTGTGGGAGTTCACGTTAACCTTTACACTCCCAGTCCCTAATTTATTACTTTATATGCTGCTAATACTGCATAGTCCAGTTGGACTAACTCCCTTTCAGAACCAGTGCTAAAGAAATGGAGCACGAGGTACAAGCTGCGATTCTGAATAGGGTTTAGCAAAAAAATTGGTTGGGGAGGAAGGCCAGCCTGAGATGCAGCAATGGAGGGCATCCTTTGTCTGGCTGTGGAAGAGGAAGAAATATTGCTCCAAAAGGCCCAGAGGGATGGGCGAAAAGCTGTGTTAGACAGTGCTGTTGTAAGGTGTCACGGTACGGTAAAAGATGGGATGTGGTTGCAGAAAGGCCTGCTAAGAAAAACATCTCAAAGTTCGAAAGAGCTGGAAGCCTCAGTTCGCACTGTCATAGCTTCCAGCGGCCTCTTTGGAATAAACAGCAAGTTGTCTGGATGAAACCTTAAATTTCACAACCAGCTGAAAGGGGCCAAGTCCCATGTGGAACAGGAAGAGATTCCAGAGCTTGCTCCTGGTAGAAAGCATGGTACAAAATTATGAGAAAACTGTAACATCAAGTTGTTTGAATACTTGGACTGTTGGTGGCTTCCTTCTGCTAAACAGGGTCCTAAATATCTACGTGTATTTTAATAGCTGCTGTTTGTTGCACCAGTGTGTACTAGCATGGAGCTGTGCCTGCTGGATCTTCTTTGCTAGGACAGTGAAAGCACACTTATTTTGTCCCTTAAACTGGAATCCACTGTAGACTTTTGAAGATAAAAGTTTAAATTTTTAATCTAAATGATCTCTTATTTTTCCTCTGAAATTCCATTGCATGCTTCAAAATGAAATAAATTGAATTAATGAGTTAGTGTTACAAGAAGACTGATTTATTGCAGCCCATTTCAGAACAAGATGATACAAAGGAAACTGTTATCAGCTAACATAATCACTCATATAAAGAACATAGCGATCTGATTTATCAAACGTGGAAGGATTTGCCTGAATCCCTTTTTGCGCCTGATTCCTCATTTGATTCCAGTGCAGTGACGCATATCAGTCCAAAGCAAATAAGAAATGCCACTACTGTGATCTGACGGTACTGCACATTCATTCCTCACCACTGTACACAGCAACAGTGTCCCTGGGGAATTTGTGTCTGCCACGTCTACAGAAGATAGGAACTACTGTATAAAATCTGGCTCTTTAGGTCAAGTCATAAGGGATTTTCATCTCTGCGGAGTCTAGTTCATCTTCTTTTTGTATCAGCCAAAAGACAGTCATTACATACGCATGCTTCAGAGCAATGAAGCATTAGATTCAGTACAATTTCCTGTCTGTTTTAATGTGACGTATTTTTAAAATAATAATTTAAAAAACCCTAGTCATCTAAATAAGTATGGAAAAGCTATTTTCCCCTGACCTTTTTCTACCACATGAATTTAATTTACTTTTCTCCTAAGATGATTTAAGTTTATCATACTTTTCTAGACAACGAAACTCTGGCTTTGTATAAGTAGAGCAGATGCCAATATGAGTTTATTTACGGCTTAGATGGCTGGGTTTTATACATATATAATGCTGGATAATATAGCTGTATTCTTTTGATATTTGATGCAAAATGCCAGATGCACTAGAGCCAAAGATATGAAAACCAAAAGAATAAGATAGAAAATACACAGACTTGGCCTCACTTGGATGATGCAAAATCTGGGAGAAATTGTGTTGTCACACCAAAAGTGTGAATACTTTCGAAACTTGTGAAAAGCTGTACAAATAAACTAAAAGCTCTCTTTAATACTTTCTTGTGTAATCAGACTTGCCTCTGCAGGTCACTCTCACCATAATCATAACAATGCTGTAAGAGATTAAAACTTGCAAAGAACATGTGAGTAACGCGTGAACTAGGCACAAACATGCTTCTCTTCAAATGCCAGGAATATTTGTTTTGCATTGAGCTTTCTTAAACTGAAATACTTGTGACCACTGAGGAAAATTCCCAGGGCTGTCCAATAACCAGTTTTGTTGTTTGTTTTTTTTTTTCCCACAAGGTAACAAATCACAACATTTATTTATAATATTCATCTTATTGAAAAAGTTGAGACTTGAGTGGCATTGCAGAAGTAGCAATGCAAGTTACCCATCACCCTACAGAGCCTTGCTCCTGCTGGCTTCAGGGTGTCTGGTTTCAACAGGTCGCTGTCACCTGGGGGTTCATTTCACAGACAATTAACAAAAGAACACAGCAAGCGCAGTGACAGGAGCACAGCTCTGGCCATTGAGGTGGGATCTGAGTCCAAGGCCATGACGGGGCTGTCACTTGGTGTCAGGTTCTGCCTGGGGCTGGTGTTACTCCTGTGAAATCACTGAAGACTGTTTCTACTGCTCATATATTAAAAACCAGAATAAATACATTTTCTTGAAGATAATATTGCTTAGTTATGTGTTTTGTATGTTCTTTGCTCAAAATATTGCACAGACAAAATACAGAAATGGTCAAAGACACAGACAAATGTGAGCAGAAACTACACCAGACAATCCTAAGCCTATGTTGGCAGGAAATACACGGCATTATTCTGCCCTGAAAAGCACATTTACAGGTTGGAATACTTGATGCACAGAGGTGAGAGAGAGACAGCGAGTTGTTTATTGAGAAAATACTATTTAGCAATCTGTCCTCACTGTTAGTAAGTATATATGAGCATCAGCAAAAGTCCACTGTCAGTCTTGCCATGAATTGGAATTTCTTGCATATAACAGAAAGTAATTTGAATTAATCTTCTGAAATCAAACAAATTAACTTAGATTTTTTTTATTTTCCATGTGTTAAAAGCACAAACTGGTGATCTATATGTAAATAAACTGTTAAAAGATGAATGTAAACTGGGAAAGAATATACTATTTTTGCATGGTAACAGATTACTCTTGATGCCTTACAGAAAATTTGGAAAAGCATTTTATTTAGAGGCAATTCTATCTGTGTACTTTTTGTATCTTTAGCTCACTTTGGTTTTGTCTGCGGGAAAAAAAGATCAGAATTGGATCTTTGTTTCATCTTGGATTAACATTCTTCAGTACTTTGCACATTCAGTGGCTTCTACACCATCTTTGCTCCTGTTAAATGATGAAGCTGAGGCCGTTCTTTTTTTGCAGGAGAAATCTGGGTGCTTGTTGTCCGGGAGGGAACCAGTTTTAGATCCCTGGAATTGTTCCAAAATAAAATGTTTTCTGAGGCATCTAGAGCCTCTTTAAGCCCTTCACTTTATTTCAGCTTTTTGTTATGTATTTTAGCAAAGTACAAGCAGTGAACAAATGAGGCATTTTCGTAAGTGTTGCCTATTCTATTTTCAACTGGAAGTGAAGGGGTTAAAATATAACATATACATTTGTGTAAAAAAAAAATCTCTTAACTGTAATTAAAGATTTTGCAGTTTTGGTATATTAGCATGTGTATCAAAAAGTAATCTATGGAAACTTTTGTAAATAATTGTCACAGTTCTCCAAACTGCTCATAGGATTTTTTCGTGGACTGACATACAATAAAAGCTCTTTTATAAAATCTATTGTTACTCCAGCACTCTGTCCTCACAATCGGGATGAAATCCTTCCGGATGCGTGCCTATATTTAATGTGTTGTAAAAAAAAACCCAACTAACCAAACAGAGAATATCATAATGACCAAAGGAATATTGGAACCTGAGATTAATGTTAGCAATCTTCTATGAAAAAAAAACACTGCAAAGCTCTCCGAAGATGCAGCAGTCTTTCTGTAATGGTTTCATTTTTTATTTTACATCAATAATAATATAACCAAATGTATATGCTTGTTTAATATGAATTGACAATTGCGAATGCATAGTATTTTTTCAGACTATGTGTCTAAAACAATAAAGTTTAAAAGCGTTCGGTCTCTATTCCAGTTTTTGCGTGCACTTAGATCTCTCCCTTCACTTGGGAATCCAGTAACGCTAAAGAGATGCCCTCCACCTTCCCTGCTCAGCGGCGGCAGCCTGCGAGAACACCTCCTCCCGCTCCCGCAGGCCCGGAGCTCACCGGGCCGAGCCCT